AACACACTCAACAAGGAATAAAAGAGATAAAAGAAACTTTCAGCCACTAACCCTCGAACCAGCCTGAGAACCAATCACCCTAGACAGAGCAATATAATTCGTTGATCCTGTAGTGGGTCTGATGGAGTATATGGCCCATGAACCCCCGGCCCACAGACTCCTACTTCTCCTACACATGCCCAATGGGCACGCAAAACCCAAACATAGCGACCGAAGTATGAAGAAGCCCACGGTGCACATATGGGTGCCTTCAGCCCTATGGCCGAGGGCTCCAAACTCCAGGGGGCAGCTAGGTTTAAGCATACGAAACTACTGGGAGAAAATGGCAGAAAATAGGAGCCCTCGGCTCCTAGGCGCCCTTGGCACATGGGTAGCCTTCAGCCACAGAGAGCCTTCGGCCACGAGACATGCCTTCGGCTACAGAACACTTAGCGAAGATTTCTTTTAGAGACAGACAACCACCGCATTCAATGCGGCGTCACGTCCAACCACCGCATTTAATGCGGTGCACATGCAAATGCCGGTGTCGCCCCGATTGAGATGACCCTCGGCCGTTAGATGATCGACACATGTACTCATCTAGCATTTATGGCTGCTATAAATAGCAGCCCTTATTCCTTTTGTAAAGGATCCCAACATCTGGAGTTCATTTAATATATTCGACTCTCTCTTACTTGCTCGCTCTGACTTCTCTCTAGTTATTCCCCGCAATAACCTCTCGGATAAGCTACCCCCAGGTACACTATCCATCAGGGTCTATATTATGAGCCTAACGTGGCCAGAGCAAAACCCTCATCACCCCCACCTAATGTAAGAGTTTGACAGAACAAAACAACAATAAAGGGAATAAACAAAGTCTGATCGAACAACAGGAAAATAAAAACAGTAAAAGCGTGGAAATTAAAATGGATCATAAAAATCAATAGCGAACTCCAATGCCCTTCCTCAGCTAGCAGCATCTTCATATTTCTCGGCGGGTCGAGGAGCCTGAACCCGCCCCCTGACCATTTTTTGGGTCATCCAAAACCATGTTCTCCCTTTCATTCCTCTCACCGCTAGCCTCTTCCCATGTCCTCCTGCATTTTGGTTCTCCACTAGTTCCATCATCAGTTGATTTATCTTCATTCTCCATACGACCCTTGCTGCCCCCAGTCAATGAAAGTGCCCAACCCTGTCTGCTTGGACCCTCTCTCCTGTCACCCTTCTGGCCTGCTCTACTACCTTCGCTTGGTCCTTCTGTAATTAGCCATTTGTTCCCCCCCAATGTGTGAGCTCCCTCCCCCCTCCTGCGCGAAGGCCAACCCCATACGGCTTGGTTGCATCCGTATTTATGATCTCATATCATAAATCAAGGGACATAACATGTCAGCATGTCCTATAATACCACAGGCAAAATAAAAACTTGGCAACTTCTCATACTTAAAGTCAACCCAGTGCCCTTCTCCCTGGCCCTTCATGAGAGTCGTACCCACCTAAGTTGTTTTCCCACATCCAAACAAACTCTAATCCTCATATAAGATTTTCATTTCTTATCAAATTGGCTATTGTCAAAACTGATAAATTTTCCAATAAAATTCTCAATCCTTCTAGCTACTCCCAAATTCATAAAATCATATAGAATATCATGCACCTGTACCCAGAATTTAGTCTCATTCAAAGGTACACGAAGGGGAACACCCCCTGGCTTAAGTGCCCGAAGAATCAATAAATTCTGCTCAAATATCCACGACCCTCCTTCAAGAAAACGTTCCATATCAATGATATGATAGAAAGTAAACATGTACCTCTTTTCGTCGATCTCCTTTATTGAAATACGTTTGCTTGGCCTCCAGAGTGAAGCCATAAGATCTCTAAGAACCAGGAATTTCACCATCCTGTCCGTGATCACGGTTCCCACCACCGGAAAAGTTGCTCCATCAGCCGAGACTCCTTCTCCATCAAGAGGCTCCTCATCAAAATTAGTTCTTCCTATTGATCCCCAATAGCCATATCATTGTATTTGTTTGTGATTGCTTCCATCACTCACCACCTTTGTTCGTGCTACGTGCCAACCAGCCACCGAAAGGAACGACTTGCTCAGCAGACTGCTGAACCCTGCGAAGAGAACGAAACAACTAGCCCTAGCCTCGCTGAACCAAACCCCTATCTGCTTAGACCGTACAGGGTTAGCCCTAGCCACGCCGAACCACCTCGCCGAACCTTGGTAACTTTAGCCGGAGAACCAAAGCCTCGCTCGTTGCGCAAAGCAACGGCGCACTTTCAACCCTAGAGTTCTAGGGAGACGACTGCTGGTTACTCTTTAGTTTATGAATAGTGGGTAATCGTAATACCAAGTGTTACGCATTAAATATACATTAATGTATATTTAATGTATATTTAATTAAGGATCTGTCGGAATATTAGCCTCTTTCCATAAATGTTGACTTTCAAAGACCTCAGCACCAAACTCATCAAGAAACGACAAGTTTTTGATGCCCTGACTCTTCCTCCTCTTATCTGGCTTATGGTTATCATGGGAATAATGGCGGCAACTACTCCCTCTGTCACACTCAGAATGAGACAATTCGATTTACGATGCTTGACCAACGATAAAGCAAACAGATTGCTGTCCGCACTCAAATTATTTTTAGGAAAAAATTACATATTCAGAAACTACATTAAAAGTTTTACAATGTCTCAAAAACCGGAATCAAATTTGATAAAAATTTGATATATAAAGTAAGAGATTAAGAGTGATTTATGTTAATCAAGTGAGTAGGAACTCATACAATCTTAGCGAGACGAATGAAGTTTTATTGTGCCCGAAGTAATCATAGGATATTTACGTAATTTCTAGTATATTCATTAATTACATTACTATAAATATAAGTTTAAGGGAATATGGTAACCCCGATTACTATTTTCTACAAGAATTACTCGCTACCTATAGAGCTAAGACTTGAGAAGGAAATTCACTCTCTTTTCATATAAAATCTCAATTTACATCCTAGGGATGCCATTCTTTTTTAGTAACTTGCCACCTAGTCAACAAAGTCAACACTCGTCAACAACTTTTATTGTGTGAAAAACTATGGGCCACTCATGTTTGCCTCAATCCTATGTTCATCAAGCATTTGGATTTGGTCCATTGATTAATGTTTTGTTCGAGTGTTCAACGCCGCTTGCTCCATGTCCATTATTGCACTACCGTAGTGTACCATATTGCGGAATGCATGTAATTGCCCAATACCCCTTCAATTAGTTATCATTTGTCTTAGAAATTTCATTTCAAACTTGGGAAAATGGAAACTAATAATCCAACCTTTTAGCGGTCTTCTTCCAATAATCCCACCTTTTGATTATTCATGAATAATCCAACCTTTGCACCTCATCTTCATTCATTGGTCCCTGGTCGGTTAATGACCTACTATTCGAAGTTATTTTCTTATCTTTGCAAAATATTATCTTTGTGAAAGATGAGATTTATGGTATAATGATTTGCAAAGATAAGAAAATAGCTTGGAATAGCAGGTCATCAACCGGTCAGGGACCAGTGAATGAAGATGAGGTGCAAAGGTTGGATTATTCATGAATAACCAAAAGGTTGGATTATTGTAAGAAGACCGCTAAAAGGTTGGATTATTAGTTTCCATTTTCCCTTCAAACTTTGATACCTTTATAGTTTTGTGTCACTATCTTCTGTATATATTATTCCATGCATTAAGCCTTCCGTATTTATCAGGTTTCCTTTGTCATTACATATCTTTTATGCAAAGTTTGTGTGCGTAGTATGTATATGTCCCTATCATAATCTATACAATCATTGACCATTGAGTAATTCAACTAAACGTATAAACTCGCTGGTTTTTTTGTTAAACTAGATAACGAACCCAGAATCCTACTGTTTGCAAAAATATTTTACTATAACAAAAACAAGTAGTACAATTACATTTCATTCTATTCAGTATGTCATGATCGATAATTTAAACATCAAACTTACACTCTTTGATAACTCATATTTTCAATTTATCACCTTATATCATAATTCAAACATCAAACTTACACACCCTTTAATTTGACAACTCATATTTTACTAAACACATACTCCCTCCATCCCAATAAATTCTTTCTAGTTTGACTTGACTCGCAAATTAAAGGAGTGAGAATAAAGTTTAAATATATGATGATAGTTGTGTAAGAAAAAGTAAATAAACGTGAATCACACAATTTTTCCAAAGGTAGAAGGTTGGAAAAATAATTTGAGATGACTCAAAAAGAAAAGTTGGAAGAATTTAATGAGAAAGAGGTAGTAATTCTTAACTTCGCACGTCAAATTGTGTAATAATCAAAAGGGATAAGGGTCAGATAGGGCCTCGAACTTGAAAAAAAATGTCAAATAAGGCCATATTTAGGATGCTCTGTCCGGCCGACGCCATTTGGGGTGGTTCCCGGTGGAATTTTTTGATGAAATTTTTTGAGAATCTTATTCATTAAGTCTAGTTTACTCATATCAAATTTGAACTAACAATTCAATCGGGAAGGCATTCAAATGAATTCATGAAGATAACTGCGCTTTTAACGGTACAGTTATCTTCAAGAATTCATTTGAATGCCTTCCCGATTAAAGTTTTAGTTCAAATTTGATATGAGTAAACTAGACTTAATGAATAAGATTCTCAAAAAAATTCATCAAAAAATTCTACCGGGAACCATCCCAAATGACGTCGGCCGGACAGAGCATCCTAAATATGGCCTTATTTGACATTTTTTTTCAAGTTCGAGACCCTATCTGACCCTTATCTCTAATCAAAATAATTAAAATTGAATTATTTATCTAACCGAATTGACTATAACCATTATAGATGATCATTTTAGTTTTTCTCCATGTAAATTGATCTTATTTTTATTAATAAAATACTCCGTATGTTTCCAATATAAATTTACCACAATAAAGTAAATTCAACCAGTTGAATCACTCCAGCCAACATTCCATCAAATTCATTCGAATGTTACCAAATGAGCTTTTATAAATTAAATCACTCATTTCTCATATAAATAAACCACCGGAACATCGATTATATAATATCATTTGGTAGATAACAAATATATATTGATAACATAAAAGTGGTCAAATGTTTAGGTTGATTAGGCGTACAAAAGATGAAAGGTAAAATTGTAAAAAGGGAACATCATATCCCTAGCTACTTAATTATATATATAGATATATAGATATGGTTTTGGGGGTAATTAATTAATTAATTAATAAACTAATATCATAAACACAACAATACAAGCCAGGACATTATATTATATTATGTCATATTAATATTAATTCAGAGGAGAGATGAAGGGGTGATATCCATGGAGAAAGGATTGGCAAGCATATTGTCCATATAGTAATGGGGATGAGTGGCATCCATAACCACAAACTGCATGTCTTCAGATGGTTTCCAGTGTCTCTTCCTCTGGTTAATAAACCAATTATTGATTTGCTTCTGGTCCAGTCCCGTCGATTCAGCGAGCGCCAGCTTCTGAGATTCCTGCAACCACATCAAATATATGAACATATAGAGTATGTTCAGATGATGAAACTTCCAAGTGTACATTTTTTGTACACTTTGATAAGGTTTTAATAAGCTCTTTGTAATTACGTAGAGTAAAAGGGAAAACCAAGTGTACATTTTTTGTTACATTTGGTCATTACATTCATGTGAAGCAGCATTCATGAATTATAATGGAAAGTTAGGAGGTATGCCACACAGGAACGTACCAAAAATAGTAAAAAAAATGTAAAACTAGCCTAAAAATGTAATTATTTCAAAATATTTGATAGAGTATTAATTCTAGAGAGAAGTGAGAGCTAGAGAGAGAAAGTGAGTAATTATATTTCTCAATTGGGAAAGGAATCCCCTATAATTAGCCCCTTGAGGTCTATTTATAGGTAAAAATGTGGATCTGGGCCCCTAGCCTTGGGCTTAGGAGGCCCATTACAATAATCATGCCCTCTTTGGGCGAAATAAGGCCACTAATGGGCTGAGTACAACACTTAGTACAAAAAATAGGAAAACACATTCTGTCCGGGCGAAGTTCGGACGATGCGGTCCATGGACGACGCGGTCCATGGACGATGCGGTCCATGGACGATGCGGTCCATGGACGATGCCATCCAAATAACTCAGGTGATATCTTCTTTCTTGGACGGTACGTGCCTCTGGCCGATGCGGGTGCCCCGCTGGTGTCTTTTGGGCCATTGAGTATGTGGGCTCTGGGGTCCAGGCCCATATACTCTATCAGGAGTCCCCCACTCTCTGAGCTGAGGTGAAGCCGAAGCGAAAGGGAGTACTTGTTCCTCCCTGGCTGGCCGTTGCGTGAGTCTAAGGCGTTTGATGGCCGAAGAGTTCCTGCTTTGATTTTGGATGAAGCGGTTCCTTTATTTGAGGTAGATGAAGCGCGCTTGGGAACTCACAGCCTTGATGCGGGCCGATGCATACTCTGTGGGAGTGCCTCCGAAGACGAGGCGATGCGCTTTCTTCTCTGTAGATGTGATGAGTTTTGGTGTGGACAAGTTGGCATGCTTTTATTGTCATCTTGTTGGGGTTGAAGAGCTCCCATCTATCCTTTTGGCCGTAGCGCAGACCTATTTTCATGAGATGAAGATGGTTGATTCTGCTTATGTAGACGATGCGATGCGCACCTTTGATTTGTTATGCAGCCGAAGCGTTTTGACTTGTGAATTTTTGTCATGGTGAGACGATGCGGTCTTCTCAGTGTACGCAGCCGTTGCGGTCCTCGTGTGCTGGTGGACGTAGCACTGCTAGCGAATAAGCCGATGTGATCCTTTTTAATTGAGCCGTAGCGCACCCTTTTATATTAAGGCCGTTGCGCTCTCTCTTCTTGTGGCCGATACAGTCCCCCAGTCCCCCACTCCTTTGGCCGAAGAGCATCTGAGGCACAAGGGAGTAATGAGCCGATCCGGTACCTATGCGCTAGTCGCGATTCCAACCCTTAGGCGAACCTGTCCAAGGTAACCCTGTGGGAGAACCCTTGGACGAAGGCCGCGATACCAGGGTTATCGTCGACGATGCGCGCCTAGGAGGCCGTAGCGGTCTATTAAGGTTTTCTGGGTCGGTTTGAGGACGTAGGGTTAGGCCGATGTGTTCCTTTTTTCGGCCGAATGGGCCGGTGCCTGTTCTGGAGCTTTGTAGTAATTGGGCCGTAGTAGTACTCGGCCGATGCCCTGCTCTTTGTAAGGATGAGTTGGGCCGTAGGGGTGCTTGCATGAGTGATTTTGAATTGACGCCCCTTGATTGGTTGGAATAGAGGTGGCCGTTGGTGGAGCCAATGGGATGGCGCCACGTGTAGTGACCGTTTGGAGGTTTTCTATAAATACCCCCTTATTCCGAAGCCACTTCCTCATTTGCGCCTTTGCTGTTGTCGAATTGCTGCCCAAGTCTTTCTAGAGAGAGAAAGCTCTGAGAATTTCCAAGTGTTCGTCACATTCTTCGAATCTTTAAAGGTTAGATACTTTAATTCTTTCTTTGATTTCTTCATATTTTGCTCCTTAGGGTGTTAGATCTAGTGTTCTTTAGGAAAGTCACTTTGATCCGAAAACTACCCTTAGGACGTAGCGATAGTTGTTATGCCGTTCCCTGACGGCCGTCGCGTTCCCTCTCCCGTTGACTTAACAGCTTCATTGGACGAGTCTGATTGGCCTTTTGACGACGAGGACACATCCCCTGGGGTCGATTTAAGAGTGGTGGAGGCTTTCGAGGTTGAGATGGAGAACACTGCGGATTACCGCACCTCCGTGGACGAGGAGCGTCTAAGCGCTGATGCGAGGTCTCAACGGTCTGGTGAGGACGAAGCGAGCTCTAACCCCAAACTTCGTGGCGACGATGCGGGTGATGCATCCTCGGCCGCTATTCCTTGTCCTCCCCCGCTTACCTCGGTCCCTGGTATTGCTCCGTCTTCCTCTAAATCCAAGATGCGTAAGTCACGTCGTCGGAAGGGGTTATCTGGTAGCATCTCGCAGCTGGATTTGACGAACCTTTATATCATAAGGCCGGAGGGTTCCCAAGGTGAATATCAGGTGGCTCAGCTTTACGTCGGTCCTTATGGAAGGGTTAGGGCGCCGAGGCCGACGGACCATGTTCTTGATCCACCTCCCGGTTACTTCGGAGTGTACCCGATGAGCTTCTCCCAGGGTTTGAGGTTCCCCCTTCATCCCTTCGTTGTGGAGTATCTCAACATGATAGATCTTCCACCCGCTTTGCTTACTCCGAACAGCTATTCCCTCATCGTCGGGTTCCTCCTCCGATGCGATGAGCTTGGGATTGAGCCGACGACGGCATTGTTTACGAACTTATACCGGATCGGACGGGGCAGCCACGAGAACTGTGCTGGGTATGCTGCCCTCCAGCAGTTGCCGAAGAAGAGATCCTTTACTGACCTCCCGTCGTCCATTCATGGGTGGAAGAGTAAGTTTTGTTTCGTGAAACTGGCCGATGGGGTTTTCTTCCCTTCCCAGGGGCACAACGGCATCTTTAATTTGCACAACCCACCAAGGAGCCCTGAGATTGATGCTCAAGTGGAGGCGTTCCTGAAGGGTGGGCCGCGGAGCGTTAACACTTACATCACCGAGTTCAAGATAGCGGCTCTAGGGATGATGCGATACCATATTCCTGGTGACCCTGATTGCGGATTATGGCCGAAGATATCCGGCTACTTTGAGCAGGCCGATGGGCCCCACCTCGGTGTCCCGGCCGATGCCGAAGGTTGATCACTTTCCTCTGGCTCGCGTTATGGTTATCTTTACTTGTTTTACTAACTCTTTTGTTTTTTGCGTCTACAGACTTCACCATGAGCCGGAAGATGTTTATGGCCCAGGCCAAAAAGCTGGTCGCCAAGGAGATGGAGGCTGTTCAGCGAGCCGATGTGCCCAAGGGCTCTGGCGATGGTTCTAAAAATCTTGCTGATGCGGCAAAAAAGCCGGTGGTGAAGAGGAAGAAAGCCGCTGAGGGCCAGCGTACTCTCACCGAGACGGGTCTGGTGCCGGCCGAAGGCGCCAAGAAGACGAAGACGAACCCACCCCTTAACGATGCTGCTTTGGCCGATGCGCAGGCATCAGTTCAAGGGGGAGCTGCCTCCGACGTACAAGTCATCGAGGATCTGACATTGAATGTCGCTTCGTCCGCCCTGGTTCCTACCAAATCGGGTGCTGCTGCTAAAGAGAGGGCCCGCGCCAACCGAGACCTGGCCTCCGGCCTTTATGAGGTGACGGTGCGGTACCCGCCGAAGGGCGGATTATTCAATGAGAAGGTTTCTGGACACGACGTCCTGTTCCAGGCCATTCCCGATGCTGATAGGGAGTACCTGCGTCGGCAGGGCAAGGATGTACGCCTATTTGACGGAGGGCTGGACTATGTCGTCCAGGTAAGTCCCGATTTTTGTACTAAGTAATTTCCTTGTATTCCTTTCCTCTCTTGATGATCATCTGTCTTTGCAGGGAGCTTTTATGCTGATGGAGCATCAGCGCCGACAGGAGGAGGAGATTACCCGCCTCCGGGAGGCTGAAAAGAAAGCCGCTTCTGCTGACGAGGCGCTTTCCCAGTTGGATCGGCTCCGAGTTGAGACCGATTCCTTGAAGGAAAAGTCTGATGCGGCTGAAAGGAGAGCCGTCGCTGCTGAGGACGAGGCGCCTCAAAGTTCAGCTAGATGAGGAAGCGGCTGCACGTCGGCTGGCAGAGGAGAGAGCCGTGAAGCTGGAGGCCGATGCGACAGCGGCTGCTGATAGAGCCATTGAACTGTTCATGGCTGAAGGTTGGAAGGACGATGCCCGCCGCGATTGGAGCTTTAACGTCGTGGCGGAGCGCTTTGAGGCGTGGTCTCAGGAGGAAGCTGGCCGAGCCCGCCTGAAAGAGGAGTTTGAAGTCTGGTACGACCTCGGCCAGAGGCGTATGCAGATGTTGGTTTACCGCCGCCTCCGCCGGCGTGTGAAGAACTTGAAGCCTAGGGGTATCGGCCTTCCGCGGATCATGAAAGACCCCGAAGAGGAGTTGAAGCTCCCACTGTCCGAGAGGCAACCCCCCATTCTGAGCTCGAGCGAGGAGGACGGGCCCTGGACCGAGAGTGACGACTACCTCTTTCGCAGCTCGGCCAAGTCGAAGACCACTGAGGACGTCGAAGACGATGCCGATAGTGGAGCCGTTGAAGGTGGCCAAGGCCAGGAAGCTTGATGTCCTTGTACTTAGTTTCTTTTTTCGTTTGTAGTAGTAATCTCAATGGCCGAAGCGCCCTTTTTTGTAATGGCCGATGCGCCTCAATCTTGAATCATTAATGATAACATTTTTTGTTCTAAGTATAAATGTTGTTCCTCGCTTCGTTTTCTCTTTTATGTTTGGTGTTTGGTTTGTCAGTGTCGCGTCGTCTAAGCGACATTGCTTCGCAAGTTTTTACTTTGGCGAATTTGCCAAGTCTGGGACGATGCGTTCCATCGTTTCCTTTGTGTTGATGTGGGGGCACCCTCGCCCTGCTGGTATGT